AGGTGGAAAAACTCCAACTTTGTTTAAGGTTGCAGCGTCAAGGGTTCGAATCCTGAAATATGGATTTAGCCATTAGGTAAGTGTAAGTGTACAAATAGCCTTCCACCCTATACCTTTGGAGGCAAAATCTACGATTTACCTCCTTTACCAAGACGCAGGACAGAACAGGTGGGAGCCGTCAAGGTTGCGGGTTCATCCTTCCTTTTTTATATATATATTTTTCTTTTAAATGGTCATAATAATTATAGGCATAAAACTTTGCTGATAGATAGCGGTGAAAAGTCGTGTGTGGGCCCGTGAAACGCGTAAAAGACAAGTGAAACCGTGCGTTACCAAAAAGGGAATATGATGATGATTTTTTTATTTTATTTTATTTTTTATCAAGACTTTGCAAAAAGTAGAAGTAAGAAAATTTTAAAAGTTTAACGAGTAGAAAATCATGGTGGGCCCACCAACCTTTTCAAATAAAAGTTATTTAAAATTATAATTAATATCTCCAAGAGTTTAAAATTATAATTAGTCTTCTTGACGAATTGCAAGGAACCTTCCAAGGATGACAAACCCTTTCCTATGTTATTTTTCGAGTTTTGAATTCCATTTTGAAGTAATTATTATTATTTTTTAATGTTATTTGATAGATATCTGAAAAACTAGAAGGCAGTTATAAATAATTAATAAGAGGTTGGTTCACATTTGAAAAAATAAAATAAAATTATATTTTTTGTTTATCGTATATCAAAGTCCTACATCCTATGTCATTATCAAAATGCACATAATTCCATTTCAATTTGGACATAGAGGACAAAAAAGAGTGGCCTAACATAAGAAAGAAAGCCATATTTCAAGATCGAAGACTTCTTGTGTGAAAGAGTTGAAAGTAAAGAATAAATCGTTTTCAATATAAACATAAAGGGAATTAATAGACAGTCTAACAATTCAACATGGGAAGAATTCAAGATCGATTATGGTCGCATAAATTAGACCATTATGTGATTTCAATTGTATAGAATTCGCAACAAGGATAAGATAGTATCTGTCAAAATAACTTATGTTTAACATAGTTGAATTCAATTCACCTAAACCCAAAAATCAAATAAATATGGCCCATGTTTGGTAAAGATTAACATCAAATTTTTGGTAAATTTTGATAAATGTTAATGAAATATATAATTAAAAAGTTATGGATCTCATAAATATGTAGTTAAAATTAATTGTTGATTTTGATTTAAATTTAAATTTAAATTATAATTCGCACCAAACGGGGCATAATTCTACTAATATATTATAAATAATTGCATCCTTGAATAGCTTAAATTAAGCCACTATTTCAAAATCATTATTTTGGGAGAAAAATATTTTGAATAGTGATTTTTAGAAGAAAATGTTATTAAAAAGTAGAGAAATTTTTGGATTTACCTGAATAATTTTTATTATATGAACGCGTGGTTGAGAAAAATTTATGGAAAAAAGAGTTTTGGAATAATAATTGTCAAATATGAGCTAAGCTAAGTCTTTGTAAAGAATCAAGACCGTCATCTAATGAGAAATCATGAATATGTTTGAATAAGTACATCAATTATAGACGGCGTAGACAACTTATAAGCGAAATAAGTCCTTGTTTGGTGATGATTAAAATCAAATTTAACAAATTTTGATTAAAAAAAAATAATGAAAAGTGTAATTTTCAAGTTGTGCATTTCATAAATATATAGCTAAAATTAAAAATAATACTATCTAACATCAGTTTATGTGTCAACATATCGTAAGTCCTAATAAATGAATCGTAAACTCTTGTATTTAATAAAAAATAAAAAATAAAAAGGTAATTGCCGTTAAACGCCTTTTGCAGCAGCTGCGTGTGAAAAGCAGAAAATTGGTTCAAAGGCAAGCTTAACACGACTACTTAATCTCAATTATTTCCTTCTCACACGAATGACTTGCGCGTCCTATTCACACCAGTTAATAAATGACGCGTAAAAATAACGCGCTATTGTTGCGTACGGGAATTATCTTTTAGTCAATCAACAGAATATGAAACATGAAGTGAGCTAAAAGGCAGTGAGTCAATCCGTAGAAAGTAAATAAAATAATAATGAGAATCTTACTTTTCAAAATAAACAATTAATATTAAAAGCAATAATAGAATATACTATTAATATATAATTAAATTATCCTACACAAGTAGTGAAATTACATCCACGTCCCTCCCTATTTTCCATAATTATTCGTTTGCTCTGAGTGACAACTCCTAAACCTTAACTCCTTTGGCATTTTCTGCTTTTTTTTTTTAATGTCATTCACACAAATAAATAATTAACAAAAAAGAAATAAAGTATAATGTCATTCTTCTATTATTTTATTTTATTTTTTGGTCGTATATATCATCATCTCGTTTGGAGAGAAGAAAAGAATTAAAAGCCTTTTTAGTGAGAGAAAGTGTGAATGGAAGGGAGCATTTTTGTGTGAAGGAGGTGATATGATGATTCTTACATTTTCAGGTTTAAAGGCACAGCTTTTATAGTCACGCATAGCTATAGAAGAAGAAAAACAGAGAGAAAATTATAGAAATTAAAGATTCTTTAGATAGGGTTCTTCTAGAAAATATATTCCATCGATCCTGTTTTCTATACATATAAAATACAATTGGATTTCAATTTTAACTGTACAGAGTGAAATTTTCTTAATTGGGTTCTGTTTATTTTAGCTGAAAAATATAGATTTTTCAGCATTTCTAGAATTTTCTCTGATAGTTTCCTATTTCTTAAGATAAAGGGAATTTTTGGAAATTCTTTGTTGGATTTGTTTGGCTTTTAAATCGGTGATTGCAATAAAGGAGGAGAAGAAGATGAGAGCTGGTTTGAGTACTATTCAACAAACCCTGACAACAGAGGCGGCGAGTGTTTTGAACCATTCCATAGCGGAGGCGGGCCGGCGGAACCACGGCCAGACAACGCCGCTTCACGTGGCGGCGACGCTCTTGGCTTCGCCATCGGGTTTCTTAAGGCAAGCATGCATTCGCTCCCATCCAAATTCTAGCCACCCGCTTCAGTGCCGAGCACTGGAGCTATGCTTTAGCGTGGCCCTGGAGCGCCTCCCTACGGCGCAAAACATGGCTTCGGGGATGGAACCTCCGATATCTAATGCACTCATGGCCGCTCTCAAGCGCGCCCAGGCGCATCAGAGGCGAGGTTGCCCTGAACAGCAACAGCAACCACTACTGGCGGTAAAGGTAGAGCTAGAGCAGCTTATTATCTCGATACTAGATGATCCCAGCGTGAGCCGGGTGATGCGCGAGGCGAGCTTCTCCAGCCCCGCGGTCAAGGCTACAATTGAACAGTCTTTGAATTCCAACGCGCATGCTAATCATCAAGTTGGTGCTAGAAATGTGAATTTGGGAGGAACTTTTGGTGGGATTTCACCGATGATGCTTTCTAGTTCAACTCAATTATCTACACCTCCAACAGCAACACCGTCAGCTGTTAATCCCTTGGCTAATCGGAACATTTATTTGAATCCCCGACTGCAGCAGGGGAGCACAGGGCAGATGGGGAATCAGAGGATTGAAGAAGTGAAAAAGGTATTGGATATTCTCGTAAGAAGAAAGAAACAGAACCCAGTTTTGGTGGGGGATTCGGAGCCTGAGGCTGTGGTGAAGGAATTGTTCAGAAAAATTGAGAATGAGGAATTGGGAGCTGAAGGGAAATTGTTGAAGAATGTTCAAGTGATCTCCGTCGAGAGAGAGTTTTTATCCGATAAAAATCAGATACCTTCAAAGATCAGAGAATTGGATAGGGTGATTGAGAGTAGGATCATGAGTGGTGGGGTAATTCTTGATTTGGGTGATCTGAAATGGCTGGTGGAGCAGCCTATGAGTTTTGGTGGCGCACAGCCGCAGCAGCAGGTGGTTTCCGAGATAGGGAGGGCGGTGGTGGTGGAAATAGGGAAGTTACTGGTCCGATTCACCGGAGATGGTACTAGTGATAATAGATTATGGTTGATTGGTACTGCAACATGTGAGACTTATTTGAGGTGTCAAGTTTATCATTCTACTATGGAAAATGACTGGGATCTGCAAGCAGTGTCAATTACTTCAAGATCGCCTCTTTTGGGGATGTTTCCCAGGTATATTCATCAATTAATTTTGATCAAGATTGATAGTTCTTCAGAACTATTTAATGAACTTTATATGTAATTGTTCATGCTACATGTATTGAATTTGAATTGACAGTTTGTTAATATTGCATCTTTGGTATGCTCCTCGGTATCAAGAATTTCTGTAACAGAACCCATGATATAATCTCTTCCAGGAATTATTCTGTAGATCGAAAAAATGATCTTTCTTATTCTTAATTTGGTAGTTGAAGTACATGTATATGAAAGGAATCTAGTTTTTCTTCATATTTATCAGTTTTTTGTGACTTCTGGTTTCTTGGTTGAGAATGATTAAGATCCGGTTGTCATACATACGTAATATCTGAGTTGTGAACTTTGTATTTTTAGGGTTGGTACAGAGAGACTTCTGAGCAATCCGGTGGAAAATTTGAATCCATTGAAGAGTGTTCCAACTCCGCCTCCCACTTTAACTAGGCGAGTATCTGAGAACTTGGATATTGCTCAAAGAAACTCCTTTTGTCCACAATGTTCTGACAATTATGAGAAGGAGCTGGCGAAACTTGTGGCCATTGAGAAGACGTTTTCGGAAGCTAAACAAGAATCTAATCGACCATCTCTGCCTCTGTGGTTGAAAAATGCGAAACTCCAGAGCAGTGATGCTAAACTAACAGATCAATCAGAAGTATGTTTAACGATCCTTTGTTAGAATTTATTTAGAATTAGAAATGAATCAAATTAAGCTGATGTTGATTTTCATTTATTTGCAGGGTAAGCATCAGGAAGTGCTTTCGAAGCAAAAGACTCAAGAATTACAGAAGAAATGGAGGGAAACATGCTTGCATCTTCATCCTAATTATCATCACAAAATCCACTCTGATAGAACTGCTCCACCAACTCTTTCCATAACGAACCTGTGTAATCCAAATCTACTTGTGCGTCCACCTTTCCAGCCCAAGTTGCAGACAGCTAAACCCCCCGGGGAAGTTCTTCGGTTGAACACAAATCACTTAACCAGCCAACCTGCGGCGCTCACCTGCAGCACACCTGGAAGTCCGGTGAGGACAGATTTGGTTCTTGGACAGAAAGGGACAGAAAACACCCCGGAGAAAACTACTGAAGACGGTGTGAAAGATTTCTTGGGTTGCATCTCCTCAGAACCTCAGACTAAGGTCCTTGATAAATTTTCTAATGAATTGGATGCTGATACGTACAAAAAGCTCCTCAAGGGCCTCATGGAGAAGGCATGGTGGCAGGCAGAAGCAGCCACTGCAGTGGCTTCAGCCATAACACGGTGCAGATTGGGCAATGGGAGATTAAGAGGTGCTGGATCTAGGGGTGATACGTGGTTACTGTTTACAGGTCCTGACAGAGTTGGGAAGAAGAAGATGGCATCAGTCCTAGCAGATCAAATATGCGGGACTATTCCAGTAATTATTTGTCTTGGCTCACGTCGTGATGATGAAGAGTTGGATATGAACTTCCGTGGTAAAACAGCAATTGATCGCATTGCAGAGGCAGTTCGAAGCAATCCCTTTTCAGTGATTATGCTTGAAGATATTGATGAATCGGATATGATCTTGCGTGGGAATGTAAAGCGGGCTATTGAGAGAGGTAGGCTCACTGATTCCCGCGGAGGCGAAACCAGTCTTGGTAATGCCATATTCATCCTTACGGGAGATTGGTCCACAACTAATCCTGAAGTGATCAAAGACGGTCATTTTGTTGACGGGAAGAAACTTGCCTCCATAGCAAGCAGAGATTGGCAGTTAGGACTAATAGTTAGAGAAAAGAGCGCAAAACGTCGAGCCAGTTGGTTGCAGGAGGAAGATAGGTCAATAAAACCTCGGAGAGAAATAAGGTCGGGCCTCTCTCTTGACCTTAATCTTGCTGTGGATACTGAGGATGACAGAACTGATGGGTCTCACAATTCAAGTGATCTCACCATTGATCATGAAGATGAGCTCGGGCTTGTAAACAGAATACAATTCACTGTTACATCGGTTCCTCACGAGCTGGCAAGTAGTGTCGATGATTCCATAGTGTTCAAACCCGTGGATTACTCCTTCGTTCGAAGAGAAATCAAGAAAACAATCTTGGTGAAATTCTCCATGGTTGCGGGTGACAACTTGCCCATAGAAATAGAAGACGATGTCTTAGAAAAGATCCTTGGAGGCCTATGGCACGACCAGATTAGTCTCGAACAATGGATAGAAAACGTTTTAGCACCGAGCTTCGAACAAATCGAACCACGCCTGCCCTCTATTGAGAGTCGTAGTTTGGTTGTCCGCCTTGTGGTGGAGTCGGGTTCCGGTGATCGGAGAAATGGAGATTGGTTGCCTAGTAGAATCACCGTAGAAGGATAATTGAAGTGTACAAGCATAAGTGGAAATACAATGGATATTGTTCTTTGGTTATAGGTGTAAATACAGAAACCATTTTGCAGCAAAAAAACCTGTTAAAATGGGATGACGTTGACAGGTTAACGGACGTTGAAAAACTCTCACCTTCTCCCATTTTTTATTTTTTTTTAATATAAATTTTTTGTTGATTTTTTTTTTTTACCCCATTAGATACTTATGTTAATTGTTACAGAGAACATGAACAATAAAGATGAGGCATTCATCTCCTCTTATGGAACCAAAAACTTCAATTCATTATTTTTCTCCTTCACTGCCCTGCGCTGGGGGCATTATGGTCATTTAATGTTAAGGGAGTTTGTGGCTGACACAGTAGTAAACGATGGTGAAGGTCGTACCTATGGACGGCCAGAATTGAACTTTTTGAGATGAATATTTTGGTTGGAAACTTTTAAGTGTAGGGCCCATTTTTTAAATATTTTCGTTAGGTGTAGAGGATCCACAGAAGACACGCTTTTGCATGTGCGACGTGTCGCCACCTAGAAAAAGACGTGTTCATCAGAGAACTTCATGGGACCCGACCCTGTTATCCCCTCTTCAATCATCGAATTCTTTTATATTGCAATCTTTACACTATAATTTATCGAATTTACACTTGACATAATTTTACCTACTTTTCACATTTTAAACATTTAGTCCCTGTTTGGCCTCCATTATTGTGCATTTTTTATGGTTGAAAATTTTTGGAATAGTGATTGATGGGAGAATGTCTGGTGAAAAAGTAGTGAAAAGTTTTAGATTTGTGTGTAATATTATTTTATTTGATAAATGTGTGATTGTAATGAAAATAGAGAAAAATTTAATATAATGTAATGGAATTT